GTCTGTTTTTGTAAAATACTAGACAGTGCAAAGACACGCAAGTGTGGTGGAGTTGGATTTTGTTGGCATTGGAACATAATAAAATTCCATGATGAAATACAAAAGAAGTGGCCCTTGGAATGAGTACAATGAAGTGAAACATTGTTTCAACTATGTAATGGTAGACCTAGATTGCGTCATATAAAACAACATTACAGTGCTTTTCGATGGCGTGGAATGACAGCTTAACTAGTGGGCAATTTCGATAAAAACAAACTGTAAAATTAATAGATCAGGAATAGAATCATTGTTTTAACTTCGTTACAAATTCACCTAGATTACGTCGTTGAACACAAAAATAGTTCGTGGGCAAATAATTAGAGCAGAATGATTTGTTAGTTTTCAATAATTTTGTACTTTTCGATGCCCCTACAAATGTTATAAATAGTATTTACATATATATAAATGTACCAAAATGAGCCAGTACGGGTCGTACTTTTCAGAAAATAGCGAGTACAAGTGATATTTGTAGCGAGTATGGGTGATATTCATAGTGAGTACGGGTGGTATTTGCAGTGAGTACGGGTGGTAATTTAGTGAGTATGAATGATAAAATGTAGCGAGTACGGGGATGTAAAATATAGCGAGTACGGTCAGGGTATTGCGAGGTAAAATGTACGAGATTTATACAACAATTACGGGTGCAGTAAAACACTCCATTGAGAAAGAAAATATCAGTGGTACGAACTGAAACTAGTTCAATTTACCAAATCGAAACATACCTCATAGCTAAACAAAGAACATAGTTGAACTCTGGTGACCTTGCCCTTTGTTATATAATATTTCCCCTTTATCATAGTTTGTTTCAATATAAATATGCATTGTCATAATTAATTTTGAATACAAGCAAGTTTCGGGGTTCAACAAACAGTGGGGAATTAGTCTACTGAATGTCCTTGATAAATGTAAATATCTTACAAAAACATTGGTGCCTAATTTGTTTAATTATTTTAAGGATGCGGTAGAGTTATCATGCTCTAAAAAGTAAAAACTGTTTTCATGAGGAAAAGTGTTTTGAAGCATAGCAAATTATATATTTTCTTGAAGCCCTTGTTCCTGGCTTTTTGAAAAAAATTATCTGCGACATGTACCACGAATTAGTCACGTGATTATTTTGTATAAAAATTAGTTTTGTATGAAAACCGTAGGGGTTTTGTAAACAAGCAGCCTCTCGGCTGAGATAGCTCCGCTGTTAGCGATGCACATTTCAATTAAAGAACAGAAGATATCATTAGAAAATGAACAATATGGATAGTATCAATGCAATAGGACTTGCTGTTTTCAACAAGCATTCAAAAATATCATTTTTCACCATAAATGATTGTGGTTTTTAACAAGAAAAAAATATCACTTTTTACCAAAAATGACAAAAATATTCACCAAAATTAGAGAATTAAAGATATCATTACAAAATGAACAAATCTGAGAGAGGTCCACATGTAGTACCTATATATGTAATATCAAAGCAATTGGACTAGCGGTTTTTAACAAGAAGTTGAAAAAATATTACTTTTTACCAAAAATGACAAAAACATTCACCAAAATTCAAGAATTAAAGGTATCATTACAAAATGAACAAATCTGAGAGAGGTCCACATGTAGTACATGTACCTATATATGTAATATCAAAGCAATTGGACTTGCGGTTTTTAACAAGAAGTCAAAAATATCACTTTCTACCAAAAATGACAAAAATATTCACCAAAATTAGAGAATTGAAGATATCATCATGAAATGAACAAATCTGAGAGAGGTCCACATGTAGTACCTATATATGTAATATCAAAGCAATTGGACTTGCGGTTTTTAACAAGAAGTCGAAAATATCACTTTTTACCAAAAATGACAAAAATATTCACCAAAATTAGAGAATTGAAGATATCATCATGAAATAAACAAATCTGAGAGAGGTCCACATGTAGTATCTATATATGTAATATCAAAGCAATTGGACTTGCGGTTTTTAACAAGAAGTCGAAAATATCACTTTTTACCAAAAATGACAAAAATATTCACCAAAATTAGAGAATTGAAGATATCATCATGAAATGAACAAATCTGAGAGAGGTCTACCCAAGGTACATATACACCAAGTATCAAAGCATTCAGGCTTGTAGTTTTCAAAAAGAAGTCGAAAAAGTAAAACATTGACACGGACGACGGACAATCACTCATATGATAAGCTCCGCTCGACAAAGTCAACAGCAGAGCTAAAAAAGAAAGCTGAAAAATCAAGGCAGCATTAGCCCCGTCAATGCCTCGAGAGTGTTAGAACATAGATTGCATATTTGTTTACAATGACATCAATTTACATTTTTCCTGTTATTTCACCCAAAGACAAGGAATTTAAAAGCCTTTTATTTTTGATTGCGAGAAGTTATCAAAAAATGCTTCAAGGGTTTTATTCTGCGCCAATACGTTATCAATGTGTGTGAATTTCATGAAAGTAGGTCAATTTCTGACGACGCACAACTCACTTGAATGACCTCTATGGTGTCAGATTTCTTCTGCCTGAAAACGCCAAAAAACAAAACATTTGTCACGTTGCGCTAATTTTGGACATTTAAAGCATCAGATGGACTGATTTTTACAACACATAACATGGAGTCACTTAGCAGCCTTGCAGTATTAAAATCCAAAACTATAAATTTTTGGGCTCGTATTCGTCCTCCAAAAAGAAGGGAAGTTGTTACAGTACACAGCGGCCCCGCATAACGTTGAACAGTTAGAGAGATAAATGACGTCATCTCATTATATATTCAAATTATGTTTACATGCGAAGCATGGTCTGTATAACAAATGCTTGCCTAGTAACAGGAGAAAGAGGTTGACATGCCTAAACGCCAACCCCTAGTGCTAGTTAACTCAACAACATCCAACGTTTTGTCTTGTTCTAGCAGACACTCGACTTCCACCGTAACATCGGAAACGGCGTTCGTGTACGGACCTTTGTCAATGGGTGGCCCGCGGCAATCCCACATAAGACCCTAGTTTTTTTCAAACCTCGCCGACCTCTCCCAACTGCTCGTTCGACTAATACAGATTTTTGATTGATATTAAATTGTCTGCTCGACTTTTTGGAAGATGGAAATTGATCATGTTTTGCTGACGAAATGTTACCCTCTTGGTTTGAAGTGTGAACCCCATTGTACTGTTGGCAATGCGTTTCTGTTATAGGTAAAATTTCGCTTCCTCTGAACTGCGTTTTGAGTTTTTCCTTGGGAGCCTCTTTTTTGTGATTGATCAATAATCAGGAGCCGGAGTTGATATGACCGTGTCGTCGTCAGTGTGCACTGTTTCCGTCGTGAAGGGATTATGCAAATTACGCAATAAGTCAATGTTATTGTTTGCGTCCAGACTTTATGCAAGTAGTTTTTCTTATTTTTTTAAAAAAAAGGTATTCTAGATGTGTTTCAGTTTTAATTTTGATAAAATTATGAGCCCAATAACTTTTACAAAAGTAATAACAAAAAAAGCAAAATTCACGAAAATAACTTTACCGCATCCTTAAGGAACATAATTTCCAGCTTTATTCAAAATAATTCACATATTTTGGTGTAAAAACAAATGCTTCATCGCAGAAGTGCTGTATTTAGACATGAATAGATTCATAAAACATGCAAGATAACAGAAAATCCAAGTATTTTGTACAAGTGTATGTCAAAAATTAATGATTCACTGAGACAAATATGAACTGCCTCATTGTGTGACTACTGTATTATATGAAAAGTAAAAAAAACACCCTATATGAGTAGCTATCATGTTGCAAGCTCTGCTTTGTATGCAAATCAACTTAAAAAGTTAGTTGGTGTCCAGTGGAGAAAGAAGTCAACAGTACTGTTGCCTCCTGAGAATCTACATCTTCAAACATGGCAATCTTTGTTTTCAAAGTGCGTTTTTAAATTAGTAGATAAAAGCTCTATCATTCTGTTCTAATAGCTGAAACAAATTCCTGTGAATTTTCATTTGTTGAATGAACTGTTTGTCAAATACAGAATGGAATGCAACGTTTTGTTGCTTTTTATGTATTTTTTTATGTATTGTTTTTGATTCGGTAACTTTGAACTAAACAGATTTTCCATTAGCTTCAGATCTTGATCAAAGTTTGGCACCCAGTTCATAGGAGTGCTTATTTTGATTTTCTGACATCTTGTTTTCTGTAAAGATTTTATTTGTAGGTTTGCAAATGTGTATCAGACTGTGCAATCTCACCATGAGTTGGTTTTGAAACCTAGTACTGTAAAATGACTAATTTTCACTGGGTTTAAATTTCACTGATTTACCATTTCAGGCATATTCAGTGGGTTTTAAATTCACGGTTTCGTCATTTAGATAATGTGTTCTATGCTAAATTTTACATATTCACTGTGTTTTAATTTAGCGTATTTTTCCAGTCAGCGAAATAAGCTAAATTAAAACCCAGTGAATAATTACCCCCTTTACAGTATATAGTATTCCCATGGGATTTGGGGGATACATTACCAAGGATATTATTACAAGATAAATGATTTGCTTCATTGAACACATACAACGATGCATATTTCCACTGAGATTAGTGACCTTTGATGTGTATCACAGTGATCAGTAAGTAGATATGATAACAACAACAACAACGACAACGCCGGACAACAACGACAACACCGGACAACAATATTTCCTTAAATATACCTTTCCCTTCCATCTTTGATGGTACGGGCAAGGTAAAAAATGCAATTACTGTAACCAATTGAAAAATAAATTGCATTTTTTCACTAAGTATAAACTACCTACACATAGAAACAAGAAAAGATTTTGAGAATGTTGAATATTGAAAAACAAACTTCTTTACATCATGAATGCAAAATGTTGACAATCACAAAAAGAAATCATTCATTTTATTAGAAGTGTGTTTTATTATATAATAAATAAAGTTTATATTATCTATATTGTTCTGTTATTAGCGAATATGTTTGAATTAATACCTGTAGAGCATGTTTGTCCAGTTCTTCCAGGGGGGCATATACATGAATATGAATGAATTCCATCTATACAGGTACTACCATATGAACAAGGATATGAAGAACAGTCATTAATATCTGCAATAAATCACATCACAATGAACCACACAATTGCATACAGAGAGGTAATTACTTCATGTTTGTACTGTTAGCATGTAAACAATTATCGAATTATAACTGAAACCTTTACTTACTAATCCTACAGTCTGGTCCAGTAAAACCTGCTGCACAATCGCAAAGATACCAGTTGACACCATCAATACATCGTCCACCATTATAACAAGGATTATTTCTACAATCATCAATATCTACAAGTAAAATTGACTTGTTTTAAGGAATAGACTTTACAGAGTTACAGCAAATGATATCACTAGCCTCAATTTGCAATTGTTTATTTTAACAAATTTCAAGTTTTTTGTAATAAAAGTAAACTTTTTGTATACATGAATTTGGGAACAAGTTTTTTTCAACAATTATATAAATTTAATTTGAGTTGGGTGTGTGTACACAGATAGTTCTGCATAAACTATGTGAGAACACACTTCACACAATCGTAATAATAATAATTCATATTGGGAGCAGAACAGCTACACATATTGGGGACATAAAATTGCCATATCTCTATGTGAGGGAATATAACTCAGGCACATACTGGGGGCAGCATATCTGCATGCAAGAGGGTATAATTTATGGCTCATATTGAGGGCTGAAAAACTCTTTGAGGAAAAGGGTTCAATTCAGGGAAAAAATTAAGGGCAGACTGTATTTTTATGTTTCTCTCTACTAAAATATAGTTGAACTCTGGTGACCTTGCCCTTTGTTAATAATAAAGATAATTTATTGCATCCTTAGAAATACAGTGTTTCCATCAGTTTATAGCAACAAAAGTATATAATATAATACCCTTTATCATAGTTTGTTTCAATATAAATATGCATTGTCATAATTAATTTTGAATACAAACAAGTTTTGGGGTTGAACCAACAGTGGGGAATCAGTCTACCGAATGTCCCTGATTGATGTATTATTTGAAAAAGTGAAAAGACCACCCTCTATGAATAACTATCATGTTGCAAGCTTATTATATAAATAAATAGTTAGTTGGTGTCCAGTGGACAGTCAATAGTACTGTTGCCTCCTAAGAATCTACATCTTCAAACACTGCAATCTTTCTTTTTGAAGTGCATTTTTAAATTAGTATTATAAAAACTAATTGTGATTTTCATTTGTCCATTAATGTTTTGATGTTACAAAAGGGGTGAAACAAGGCTGTGTGATTAGTCCAACATTATTTAATATTTTCATTAATGATTTTAAAGATCACCTTGACAAAACAAACACAGAACAACCAACATTGAATAATACACCAGTAAACTCATTAATATATGCAGATGACATGGCTCTCATTTCCACTACATCAACTTGAACAATATTGCTGAAATTGGCAACTTAAAATAAACATATCTAAAACTGAAATTGTTATTTTCAATAAATCACCACTGCAAAAAAGATACTTTTTTACTATTGGCAACCAATGCATTAAATGTGATAAGCAGTATATTTATTTAGGGATTATTTTCAGTTCAAATGGTAATTTCAATGAGGCAACAGCCAATATAGCAGAGAAAGCTGGAAAAGCACTTTTTGCTATGAACAAATTACTAGGGGATAATAAAAATATTAAACTTTCTTTACATTTATTTAACGTTTTTATAAAACCCATCCTTCTATATGGATCAGAGGTATGAGGAGAAAGTTTCATCAACAACAACAAATGGGAAAAAAACATGATAGAAAAAATTCATTTGAAGTTTTTGTAAGCAAATCTTGCAGATTAACAGGACCTCATGTAATCTAGCAGCAAGAGCAGAATTGGGGCAATATCCTCTTTTAATTGACATCAAAAAACAAATAATAAAATATTGGTTGCATATTGTAGAATTACCAGATGATAATCTAACTAAACATTAATTAATGCAATAATTGACTAATTAATATGCATGCAATTGCACCAAAATCTTATCAGCACATCTACTCATCATATATTAGCTGTGTTCCAAATTTCATTTGAATTGAAATTGTAGATCTTGAGTTATCAGTGGAACAAATTTTAGTCACAGAGTCACAGAGTCACAGACACCGGTACCACATAAGCTCCGTTTCACGGGAGCTAACAATTTATTCAGCATGCTGTTCACCGATATATGAAAGAGTGTTTTTTTTAGGCAAGACACACGGTAAAATGACTACTGCACACCAATAAATCAACACATTTTGGAGACATTGATCTAGTCCTCAAAAAGCAATGTAAACACTGTCAATCCTAAAAATAAATAACAGCTTAGATGACATGTGAATGAGATCGGTTCAAATCGCAGTTTTTATGCAAATTCGTGCGGCCGTCCTGAACCACATTGTCTATTGTTCAAACTTCCAAACCGCAAAACTGGGTTTTGTTCGGGTGGTTTAGGGCGGTTTGGGTTTTCATAGGTTTGACCCACATGTTTGAATATGAGATCACCCCTTACTTCATTGAACACATACAGCAGAACATATTCCCACTGGGACCAGTGACCTTTGAATGTGCATCACCAGTAGAAACAGTCAACAATTTTTATCAGATTTTAATTACTACTATATTTTCACACAGGACATCTGTCATTCAAACTATGGATATACTTCATATTGATGAATTAGGTGACCAAATCGGATAAAATTTGGAATAGAAATAGTAAAGTTATTGTACACACATTAACAATTATTAACAACAACGACAGATATTTTTCCCTTGTTAACAAGGATGACGACTAGAACAACAATGACGAGACAGACATTTTCCTCTCATGTACATTTCCTTTTATGAACATTACAAAATGTAATCTGTAATTAAGATATTGAATAGTACTCACTTGTTTGACAATTAAATCCCTCAAATCCTTCCTTACAGATGCATATATACGAGTCACCACTATTGATACATGTACCTCCATTGCGACAATGTACATATTCACAACTAGTATTGGTAGCTGTAAATCGAATAATACCAGTATTGCATTACCCTTAATGAATTAGCACGTCTGGTGTAAAGTATATACATAGCAGTATTAGTATTACTCACCTAAATGACATGTGTTTCCAGCCCATCCTGTAGGGCAATTACATGCAAATGTATCACCATGGTCAAGACATGTACCACCATTCCTGCACGTACTAACTTCACAATGGGAAGTTTCTTAAAAAATGAATAAACAAGTGTCAATCAAAACTAAGACACACATGAAAAATCATGCATCACTCACAAGATACCACATGAATTAACATTACGCTTATCACAAAATACTGTAAAATCATATATTTTTCACTGGCAATTAATTTCACTATATTAATGCTTTTGAGCAATTTCAATGGGTTTGTAGTTGACAAACATAGAAGAGAAAACATTAACTTCTATTCTTATTTTACATCTTCACATGGATTTTATTTAGTGATTTTACTTATCAGGGAAAATAGCAAAATTAAAACCCAGTGAATAATTAATGTGTTTACAGTATTACATGAGAATGAACAAGTCAATGAAAATGACACAGTCCCCGTTAAATTTTTGAAAGTTCTCTTTGTGCTCGTCATATTAAAACGGAGGGGTTGTCGCGAGCGTGTCCTTAAAACTTGAGTTCCAAGTGGCATATACAACAGATTGTTTATTTACATCAAAACACATGTTCTGTGTAGTAGTAATATGGCCAAAAATAAAAACAGCCGTTATTCGGCCATCTTTGATTTGATTATGAAACACACTGATATGCATGATGTATGTGCCAAATACGAATGAAAATGGTACATAAACTGTGGAGTAGTAAGGCTAAAAAGTCAGATGGCTGTCAATCGGCCATCCTTGATCAGATTTTGAAACAAATTGTCATGGACATGCATCCTAACATGTATAAAGTTTATGTATGTGCCAAATATGAATGAAAACTGACAGAGCACGTCCAAGATATTGCATAAAAAACAAGACATGACATGTCATGTCATAGCCCCCGCTCAGAAAAAATTTAAAAACTTATATTGAACTGGGTTTGTGTCAGAGTGAATTAATTCATTGTGAGCTGTATTAAAATTCCATTATTAATTGTTCAGAATTGATGTGTTACAATTTAAGGGGGATGGGGTAAAAAATTTATTCATTTGGCTTTTCTGAGACAATTTATAACTTGTTAAACATATAATGCAATGTGCACTTGTAAACAATTATTACCTGTCCCTGTACCAACTTTGAACAAAACTGGATGACACATATCTGAGAAAAAGCTTGTTTTTTTTTAGATTTTTAAGGAAAAAATGGCCTCCAAACCTTAACAAGCAGCCTCTCGGCTGAGATAGCTCCGCTGTTATCAATGCACATTTCAATTAAAGAACAGAAGATATCATTAGAAAATGAACAATATGCATAGTATCAATGCAATGGGACTTGCTGTTTTCAACAAGAATTCAAAAATATCATTCTGATCATAAATGATTGTGGTTTCTAACAAGAAGTTGAAAATATCACTTTTTACCAAAAATGACAAAAATATTCACCAAAATTAGAAAATTGAAGATATCATTATGAAATGAACAAATTTGAGAGTGGTCCACATGTAGTACCTATATGTGTAATATCAAAGCAATTGGATTTGTCGTTTTTAACAAGAAGTCGAAAATATCACTTTTTACCAAAAATGACAAAAATATTCACCAAAATTAGAAAATTAAAGATATCATTATGAAATGAACAAATTTGAGAGTGGTCCACATGTAGTACCTATATATGTAATATCAAAGCAATTGGATTTGTCGTTTTTAACAAGAAGTCGAAAATATCACTTTTTACCAAAAATGACAAAAATATTCACCAAAATTAGAAAATTAAAGATATCATTATGAAATGAACAAATTTGAGAGTGGTCCACATATAGTACCTATATATGTAATATCAAAGCAATTGGACTTGTGGTTTTTAACAAGAAGTCGAAAAGTATCACTTTTTACCAAAAATGACAAAGTTATTCACCAAATTTAGAGAATTAAAGATATCATTGCAAAATGAACAAATCTGAGAGAGGTCCACATGTAGTACCTATATATGTAATATCAAAGCAATTGAACTTGTGGTTTTTAACAAGAAGTCGAAAATATCACTTTTTACCAAAAATGACAAAAATATTCACCAAAATTAGAGAATTGAAGATATGATCATGAAATGAACAAATCTGAGAGAGGTCTACCCAAGGTACATATGCACCAAGTATCAAAGCATTCAGACTTGTAGTTTTCAAGAAGAAGTCGAAAATGTAAAACATTGACACGGACGACGGACGACGGACGATGGACACCGGACGACGACGGACAATCACTCATATGATAAGCTCTGCTCGACAAAGTCGACAGCGGAGCTAAAAATGTATTCAATCAAACAGGTCATGAATGACACTGCCTTCACTTGTTGTCATTTGAAAGTTGCAACATATAATTTGTCCAGTTTTTGGCATGGACATAAATTGGCAAACATGATTTCTATGGCATTTTCAAGTTTGTAGCACTCTCCATCCTGGTCTCAGGAAGAACACCAGAGAGTAACAAACAAGTACAACAGGTAAAATGACATGTAAGTATGCAAATCACATCTGCAAATATATTGAAGAGTCAGTGTTGTGTCTGTTTGGATAAACTTCCTTGTACAACTGTATTCCTAATACAAAGACATTGTCAATCACAGAACTGTTCCAGCGAAAAACTTCTGATATTTTAGACAGTAACAGGGCAATGATACTGTTTGTCATACAAGTACTAGCACCAGATGAGGAACTGAGAAACTGCAATGATCCTTGGTGTACATTACCTGTGTCAACAACTTTACTTCCCATGTACTTCATGTACAGATCTACATGTAGTTTGTGGCCCTAAATAAGGACAAGGGTACATCTCATATGACAATGATACAAATAAAGTGCAAGAATCCAGAAAAATATTATCAAGTTTTTATTATCATACATTAATATTAACAAATCGTGTGAAATTGAACTTTTATGTACAGAGCAACACATATTTATGCTTTGGTTGACAGCACTTCTCAAAGTAAGAAAAAAAGAGGACCTACGAAACTTTATACAATTGTCAGACATGCCGCGAATAGTATGCTTTTGTAGTATATGCAGTTCCAGTGGCTTTGCTTTCTGAGAAAAAAATTCTGGCTCTGCACCTGAAAAAAACAAAAAAACATTTAGTCAAAAGTAAGCAGAGGTTGTAGCATACATGTATGTGCTCCCATTAGCTGTTAAATTTAATTAAAAAAGATATTTGTGCATCGTCTTTTCAGTACGAAAACATATTACTTAATATATTTATACCAGCCAGAAAGAAATTGCATTAGAAATATAAATGGACAACAATTGATGCATGTCTAGCAATATACTGTTTGAAAGGCCGCAAGATGAAATGAAATAGCAAACCAATCACTACTCGAGTCGGACTGGCTGGGAAACTGCACAATACATACAAAAATGTATGCAAATGATATATGAGCAGCTCCACCAAATTTAAAAATATTCTTTCCATAGTTATGACTCTAATGTGAATGTGATTTTCCACTCCTTAGCAATACTAGTTTGTGCATTGTATTGTATTGTACTGTATCATACAAGTGTATTGTCATTCTAAATGTGTTTGTAATATTATTTAGCTTTATTTAGCATTCTGTTTAGTTGGTTAACTTTACTGTATCTTAACGTAGTTTATTTTATTCTTATACGACCATAGAACAACTCACTGTAGTTTGTTTTAATGTTGAATAAATATTATAATATTATTATTATTAAAATCAGTCACTGTACAATGATGACGTATTGCGTGAAATTGTTGCAAGGACAATACTTTTCTCGATTTGTGTGCCGTTGTGCGTTGATGAAAAATGCATGGAATGGTCGGCAGTATTGATCAAGTTTGTCTACTAGTGTGACCTTCGTGGCTGGCGAAAAGTAAGATGCCGTATAATCTTTTAAATAAGCGTCAAGGAGGAGTGAAAGGCCTTAATTTGGTTCTACAACGGGCGTCATGAAATGTTGTAAAATTACAGACAATCAAAAAAAACTGTTCACATGACAACAAAAAATATTCACTATATTTAATATGCATTATTTTTTTGTTAGTAGCAAATGATCACGTTACGGTAGCTTACTTGTTTTCGAAGTGTTGCAATTGATGATTAGTACTCAGTAGTGATTATATTAACGTACAAAAAATAAATTTGTTGAATTGTTATGAGTAAGTGTAATTCAACTTAGTTTTATCGTAAGCAAATGATTTCAGTTACATGTTAACGCTCGATGCGATATGATATCCGCCATGTTATCCATGCACAAGAGGCGTGGGTTATTGACCAGATAGGTCAAGTCGCCAATCAGCCAATCAAAGTGCTGGATGGTGCCCATGTGCTCAAATTACCATAAACATTTAAATATGTTAATGACAGTTCAGCGACCTCATGGTGAAAGCCACATGGAAGAGATTTACCGATGTTCTAGTGCGATCTTTTGGCTTTGTTTGTCATGGGAAAAAAGGCATGATTTTTTTTTAATCGGCTTGATTTAGAAAAATAAATATACGTAACGTCCCAAATAAGAACGTATCGGGTGGAATTTTTCTGGGGAAAAAAATAAACGTACCGGTACGTTTATTTGGGACATGTAGCGTTCTGGGCAAGCTCTCCGAGTAGCGACATATTTTTAACTTCGCATATGGCGTGATCAGTGGATTACGTAAATAAACCAACACTTTCAATGAGTACATGCCGACCCAACTAAATTTGTTTATGAACAGCGAGGACACATCTCATAGAACAATAGCTGTGGAAATCATAATGTAAATGTTGTGGAAATCAAGCATGGCGATAATGATTTTGAGCGAGGCAGAGTCTGGCAAGCGTCTCAGAGCAGCATTGCGCCGACACCACGACGATGTTTGAATCCCGTAGAGAGCACTGCAAACTTCTTAAATCACGAGGTAAACTATCAATTAACACAATACATAATCAGTTCCTACAACAATAATAAATATAATTCCCTTTATCATAGTTTGTTTCAATATGAATATGCATTGTCATAATTAATTTTGAATACAAACAAGTTTTGGGGTTGAACCAATAGTGGGGAATCAATCTATCAAATGTCCTTAAAAGATGTAAATATCTTACAAAAACAATGGTGCCTTCTTTGTTTAATTATTTTAAGGGACATAATTTCCAGCTTTATTCAAAGTAATTCAGATATTTTAGTATAAAAACAAACGCCTCATTGCAGAAAAAAAGTACTGCATTTAGACGTGAATAGATTCATAAAACATGCAAGATAACAGAAAATCTTAGCTGGCTTTTGTCCAAGTATTTTGTACAGGTGTCTGTCAAAAACTTATGATTCACTGAGACAAATATGAACTGCCTCATTGTGTGACTACTGTATTATATGAAAAGTAAAAAAAATAAACACCCTTTATGAATA